TAAGAATACTTTCTGGGAGAGGTTGAAAATGCGATTAGATTAGGGACGGAGGCTCCGTGTGTAGCCCATGCTGTTAGCACCGCTGACATTTGGAACCTGTTTTTCTTTTTTTCCCCTCCGTAACATGCTCTTGATGTGCCAGTCACACCGTCCTGATTAGTGGATTAATGGATTAATTTAATAAAGGACCTCATCAGAAAATTTGAGATTACAAATATCAAATTTCAAAACTCAATTTACTTTTGAGATAGAGTCAGCAATATGTCCAAAGTCACGTACCAACGTAAATGAACCAAATAATGTCCAGGTGGATACGTCACCACTAGAACAGCCAGAAAAAAAAGCAAAAACAAACAAACAACAACAACAAAAAAACCCTGCTCTTTTAAAAATACCGTTAATTATTTGAGCAAGCCATAGACTCCGAACCAGGCCCTAGGGCCCTCACTACCACGTGATCCATCTCCGGCTTGTCATTTTCAGAATGCTACATAAACGGAATACTACAATATGTAACCTTTGAGATTGGCCTTTTTTTCCCCCACTAATTGGTGGCCAGCTGCTTGCGCGGGGCCTTCCCGCCCGTGGACTTGCGCGCCGTCTGCTTCGTGCGAGCCATGACGAGAAACACCCACAATGAGGAATTGAAACAAACATGTCCCCCAGAAGCACTGCTGATATTTATAGAACGTGCGGTGTAGCGATTGGATGAGACGAATGTTTAACTATTACGCTCCAGACTCTGATTGGTGAGTCTTTAAACTTTCCAACAACCAGTTTCATTGATTACTACGTTCTATGCTCACTCTTCAAATTTTTTTTGTTCCCTCTTAGCCCATCCGATTTCCGAAACTTCGATGCAATACTTTGAGCATTGTCTTTTCCTGGAACTCGGGGCACTGACTTCATTGGTACTAGGGCTCTGCAATTCTGTGCGTCTTCTTAGTTCTTGGGGGAAAATGGAGGAAATATTGACCCCGCCCCCAAAGTTCGTTCTCTTCTCATTACTTGCTCAACCCGATATCCGATGAGGTTTTGGAACCATTTATGAAAACGAGATCCCGTTGTGTTGCTTAAATTGACTGAGGAACTCTTGAAATCTGCAAGACATTGTCTCAAGCAGAGTAAAAGCACAGCAGCGTTTACAGAAATAGTCTCTGTAATCAGGTGCCTTTTTGTTAAATGTCTATCATCTGTGTTCTACACTTGGAGATTTCTAAAACTATTACGTTTCCTAAAGCCTAGAGTACATTTCTCCAGATGCAAAAATCTGATTGTTAGTTTTTCCAGCACCGCGGCTGGATGCACAGCGCGTTAGCCCAATAACTGGATTCTGGGGCCCAAGGAGAGCAATTTACCATTGCCAAGAGTTCGTCTTACAGACATTAAACTTTTCTTCAAGCTTGAAAACTTCATAGTGGTTCTTTTGTAGTAAGTTGGGAGTGGAACAGATTCTACGTTTTGATTGGCGGAGCCCTATACCAAGTAGCCAGTAAGAAAACAGATCTAGAATCCTTCATTTGCATACTTCATGGCTCTTTGGCCCGAAGGACACATAGGAGGCAGAAACCTAAATAAGCAACTTGTGAATACAAGGTTTGTATCTTTAGGCCTGCGTTTTGTTAACACCTTATTACCGTAAAAAAAGATTTGCCTACGACTTTCCAAAAGCATTTACTTAAGAAAGCTTCTAGTCTTGGAAAATCCTATCTCTGTTATTACTGTTGAGTCTCCTTTAAACTAAGAAGCCTAGTCCTCTTCCAAAGTCTAAGAAATTATGTGATGCATTTTGAAAACAGACCCAAGAAAATGGGAGCTAGGGAAAAGTACCAGAGAATTTGGGTGAAATGCGTCTGGAACAGTGACATTCAGGGCCGCCACTTCGTAACTAGTTCCTACATTGCTGTGGAAACCGGGAGCGCAGCTTCGTAGGCCAATGCGGACTTGTTTGAGAACCGCAGCCACGCGCACGAGAAGCAGAGGTCCCAGCTTGGTTCCCCCTCAGCCAGGGTGAGCGGATGCATTTAATCTCTCCTCAGCGGTGTTAATGCTTCTACGACCCCAAAGTAGATAAGGTCACCCCAAATGCCCCCTCTCACTTGCATACTGAAGGCAACCCGCACCCCGCACCGTGCCCTTCGGGGAACCGTGTAGTCACGCGCAGCTGCCTGAATTTAATGCCTCTGAGATGCCATAGGTCCTCAGCTTTGGAAACCCGCCGAATCCATCGCGGGTCATAAGCGCCAGCGGCTGTTTGGTGCACGTTTCAAGAATGAAAAGGCGGCGGAAATTCCTAAAGTGCAGAAATGTGAGAATCACAGCTGTATGTTGTTTTCCGCCTGTGCAGCTCGATTGCTAACTATGGTGTTAGCGAGTTCTGGTGTTTTCTACGTTTCTCCTTTGACCGAAAGTCCTAGGACGCGTCGCTCTTCAGCGTCGCGGGGGAAAGGCAAAGGTAAAGATGAGAACGGGTCGCAAACCGTAGACGGGGCCTACGCCCTCACGCTTTCCTCTGCTCAGCCCCTCGAGACTGTCCTTACACTTACTCCAGACTAGAAAGGAACGTCCCTGACACCGCTCGCTCTAGGGGAAGTTCAGGGTGAAAGTTCCCCGATTCTGCTTCATTTTCAGTCGGCCCCATCCCCCACCCCCAACCTTCGCGGCAAAAAGGTCCGCTACTTCCAGAGGCGTGGCCCCCGTGCGGGGGCGGGGCCGGCGCTGTGCGGGCGGGGGCGGAGG